TCTGTCAAGACCTGCATGGTCTAGTTTTTTTATTTTTTTTTTTTGGGGGGGGGGGGGGGGGGGCGAGACTTTTGGTTATCATCCAGTGTTGTTCTTTCGTTTCGACCGAAGCTCGATATAGTCGAATTGCTTCAATTCAGTAAAGGTTTTGCCTCTATTCCTATCTCATCCACTGATCTGTGAGTCGTAAAATAAGGGAGATCTGTAATCGACTTCAAAGGGCCGAGTCTTCAAATTATCTCACGTAGAAAGTCTTTAGATTCTGGCCATGCAGTAGCTTTGACTGAAATTACTACTTGTTAAGTTGGACATATTGTGGGTTTTAAGTCAATAATGAGTTAAATTTAGCATAGGGCAATGTGTAGAAAGTATCATAATAAGTATATGAAATTGTGTAATGGACTCAAGGGGAGAGCCCTGGTGAATTAAAAGAGCCCCCGACCCCACCCCCTTTCATTCTATATTTATATATCAATAAGTATCTGGTCTCATGTTAATTAGGTATTTGGACCCCACTTTTTTTTAAAAAGATAGAAATTCTCTTTCTCTTCCCTTTCCTCCTCTTTTTCGAGCTTCTCAGGTTTATCTTTTCATTTTCCCTGCCCTTTTGACATTCTTTTTCTTTCATCTACTTTGATCTTTCCTTCTCTTTCAATCAAGTCGCATTAAGTACAGCTGGGCTGCACTACGTGGGCTCTAACTATAATACACTAGTCTAATGAAGCCTTCTAGAACGTCTAGAGCTGTGTTTGGTAAAGTGGTTATCCCTCGCAGCTGGATATTCCAAGATAGGCATGTACTAACCAGCAAGTGCTCTCAGTACAGAAAACATCTTCTGACTATCAAATAAATGGACACTAGTAGTTAATAAGCGACACCACGCTGACTGTAAAGAATGTTTGGATATTCTTAAGTGCTCTAGATTGATCGTCTGTTTTGTCTGTGGTTTTATATCTCTCTTTGGGGCGCAGTCATTCACTTGTGTCTATATCCATATATAGAATTTTTTATTTATTTATTTATTTTATTATTATTTTTTTGTTTAATTTTTATACGCATTAAGGCCTGTGGTCTCGGGATTTTAAAGCTGGTAAAAAATAAACTTTGAGTTTATTTAGCGTCTTTCTTTGCTTTAGGAATTATCGATTATTTCTTCCATGGGCTACCTGTGGTTTATTAACAACGCCAAGTGAATGTAGCCTGCGTCACATCTGGACTTTTTTTTTTGACAGTGAATGTTCAGTATTAAATACAAGTTTACTCTGACTTTCCGCTATTCTGTATTTCTATAGGACTTTCACAGGGGAAAATAACTAGTAATTTTCACCCTGACTTTCATTTGGACAGCGGAACGCCTTAGAAAGCGTGCGTATGTGACTAGTGAATATCACCTAAAATAGTGAAAGTCCAAAACCCTTTCCCAGCTTTACTTAGAGGCGAAGTCCCCACAACTACGGTACTTGTAGTCATTGATAATAATAATAATAATAATAATAATAACGGGGTTCTTATATAGCGCATTTTACATGGTCTCAATGTGCTTCACAATCATGACCAGTGGAGGACTTTACGGGCTGCGTATTTAGGCGCTAGTAGCAGCCGTGCAGCTTACAATCATGAGTAATTTGTTAGTAAGTTAGTATTAATGCCTCCAGATTGGGATAGGCTGTTGAACCGGGAGACAATCCCCTGATACCAACGTGAGGGTAGCATACAACGTTAGCAGGTCTATTTTGGACATTTTTTTATGCGTAGAAATATAGCGGATAATAATGACTGACAGACTCCATATTTGTTTAATTTCTTTGAATTCGAGGAAACAGGTTTTCAAGATACCGAGCTAAGTTTGCAATCCCGCAGACTGAGTCAAACTGCCTTTGGCTACCACAACTTGATTGATGGATTTTTTTACATAACGACACACATTTATTTTATTTTTTATTTCACATTGGAATCCAATAAGCACTAATTTAAGGTAAATAAGTCTCAAAAGCAAAATGAAATGGCTTCTGAAAAAAGATTATCTTACATCCGAAAATCGATTTTTAAACGCGGTTCTTTAGTTATTGATTCAGAAAAATTCGATTACATTTATCCAGATTACTTTCCGTAATTTTATTCATCGACATCAATCTTGAAATCCGAGACTCACTGAATAATTCCTAGCCTAGTAGTCTGTCTGCCGTACATATAAAACGGTTCCTATAACTATTTATCTTCTTCAATCTGTTATTATTCTAGCAGATCACGTACCGTCAATTACTCTTGACAAAATATCACGTAATCGGATGTCGTTTTTTTATAGCCTTAAACCACATGGAATATCCTTACCTTTACAGTGGTTTTGTCTGACCTTTTACCAGAGTTTTACTTCATGGAAGAAAATGTAAACTGTTTCGATGAATGTTCCAGTTATATTTTGAGTTTCCATTTTTATTTATTATTATTTATTTATTTATTTAGTGGTTTTGACTAAAATAACGTTTTTAAGAGATGAGAGACCAAAGTATTGGACGTTTTGACGACCTCGTGTTGTCATCCTCCAAAAAAACTATTATCGATTCACGACGTTTACATAGAGAAGAGGTTAAGATAGATTTTCAACTTGCTTTTAAGTTACCTTTTTCTCTAATTAGCCATTCCGAGGTTGAGAAAAATGTCGAAGGGCCAAATTGGGATTGCAGTGCATTGTGGGGATGTCTTAAACGACAATAGTCCCTTTCACAGTTCCCTGCGCCATCTTGAAAGGTAGCCGTGCCTTTGCATCGAAGCGAGACGAACAGTGAGCTTGTAATGATAGAGACCTTTTAGCGACGTTAGCGACCATTCGTCTCGCTTCGATGCAAAGGCACGGCTACCTTTCAAGATAGCGCAGGGAACTGTGAAGGGGACTATTAGACGCGGCCATATTGATGGTAACATGTCCTCTAAGACAGTCCCAGGATGCTTTTAAAATTCTTGCTAAGCTTCTAATTCTATTCATGCTAAAAAAATAATTTATTGGAAGGCTCTAGTCAAGATGTTAACTAACACTTTTATTATTCTATTCGATCTAGAATACTGAAATCTTTTCTCTTTAAGCTATAGGAGAACTGAAGCTCGTTCAGCTATGACTTCCTGCCTTAATGTACAAACAAACAATTGTTTTTTAAATTTTTTTTACTACAATTATTTCAGTTTGAGATTTGAATTTGTTTAGTGAGACGAATTTTTCATATATTTACAAGAGTCATATTTAATGTAAGCTGAACACGGCACATAAATAGAATATGTCTCTTATTTGTTTATACAATTATTTTTTACAGCTTCTTATATTAATTTACTAATATAATGAACTGATATAACTCCCTTCAAGGCTATAATAAAATAATATGGTAAAGTACAATTTTACTTTTGCTTTTTATCATTATTTCCAATTATTTTTTCATAAACAAAAAGAATTGTCTCCTTGTTCATTTTAATACATTTATCTTTTACAGTTTTTATGTTAAATTTCCACGATTTTCCATAACGCTTTTGGGATTAAATCCACAGTGAGCTGTATGATTTAAATGATTCGATTGATTGACACGAAAATTATACATTTTTTATTGCACTGTTTATTTTCTTTTTTCAAAAATTCAAAATGGATGACAAAAGCGTAAACAAATAAAGATCTGTGCCTGTGAAAAGGATATTGATCTATTTAATCATATTTCTCGTTTGGTCTCCCAACTTTAGTTCTAATGTATATATATATGCATGTACCGACAATGAATATAAAGTATGTTATATTTATATATTATATTTTTAATACAAACATTTGAGTATTACATCAAAAATCTTCTGACAGGTTGTCTGATACACTTCTTTGGATGTGGCACCGCAATTTGCGGTGTAAAACAAACGAACTGTCTTCATTTGACAAAAACTGTTTTTCTATTTCGTCTCCAATTTTAACCCCCAACTAAGAATGTTCTATGACGATTGTCAGTTCATGATATTGTTCTAGGTTTCTACCATCAGGACTATTTGTAACCAGCTTACCCGTCAAGCCATCAGGTAGTATCTAGAGTTGTCCTATATTTTTTCCCCGTCAATAAACCAAAAAAGTAGCATTTTTCTTCCTTTTCGGTAGCGACAGATTTAAGCTAAATTTTTTAATTTTTATTTTATTCTTAAAAGATTATATCTGCTATGAATACAACCGTAAATTTCATTTTACATCGGTCTAAATATACATCCACACTTATACACACACGCATGGCACATAAGAATGGCTTACAAAGCCACTAAAATCGCATCAAACCTCCGGCTTTCACTAAGTGACGTCATGTAATATTTTCAACTTGGTGAGATTATTATCAAGCATAAATCAACCTCAAGTCAAAGCATGTCCAGTAGATTGCTTTAATTCGAAGTGAATAAAAGGTAAATATTGGAGGCGACGACGAAGAAATCTTCTGGATTAGACCGATAGTTAGTCTGATATTACAAAGGGAAATCGAACACAATTCAGAAATTCGGATTCGAAAACGGCTAGTTGGCAACTGTTAATGCTCATCTGTCATATTCGTCTTTTAATGAGGCATGGTAAATCATTCATTCTGGTGTTTTTATTTTCTTCAATATCCTTGACATCTTTGTGTTTTCTTCTTGTCAAAATCTGTGCTTTTACGGGTTTTCTTTCTTTTTGTTTTGATCCTTATCGAGTCGGAGTTCACATTGATTACATGATATGTAAGGTTGAACTCCAAAGTCCACATAAACATCTATGGACTAATGCGACATATTTGATTTGATCTCGCTGTTAGGCCTAATCTATTTATACCGAGAGTTACTTGTCGTAATAAATGACCACCGCTTTATCGCTACATCAACAAAAGAAACACTCTCGTTGCCATTTATTATTCAGAACGAGGAAGAACACTGTTAGTGCAAAAAAGGAAATCGAACAATGCAATTCTCGGTTCATAATACCATATTCAGTATAGGTTTTTTTCTTCTTCTGTTCCCTTTGCAGCCACAATTCTCTAGAAAATATGTTAATTATTTCGGGGTTTTTTTTAATTTTTTAATTTTTATTATCCTTTATTTATTAAACAGACCGAGTTTTGGACATTAACTTCTTCATGGTAAAACGAAATTTTCTTGAAGATAATGCCCAAAAGTGAGCCCAGGGTTATTGAAAATCCAAATGAATCAAGAAATGAAATCAAAATGTCAAAGTTTGAAGAAGTTCTTTTACTGTTATCTTTTTACGTGATTTTATTTTATTTTTCTTTCTGTCAATATTAGCCATAACTTTCGCAGTAAGTTTGGATATATTGTTTCAATGTTTAGGCTACGTTGAGTTTATTTGATTTTTTCGATGAATAGAACATTTTCTTCATCTATCTATTCCTCTGAGTCTTGTAACATTGAGAAACCTTTCTACGACACTAATAAAGCAAGATATATGTATATATGTGTGTTTTTTGGTTTGTATCTATTTTGTGTGTGGTTATACAAGAGGTCTTTTCTGGCGGGCTCACGGAAGTATTCGCCAGTTGTCCAAGAATGATTATTCCTATCAGCAGGACGTGATGTGTTGGTGTATTGTTTTAGATCTTCTTAAGCTTTCGGTCTCTTTAGCATGATAAAAATCCACAAAATGTAGGCTTAACTGAAGATTTGGTGTTAAAGTCACACCCCACCCCACCCCTCCCTTCTGATCCAACTCATCAAGACTCTGACATTTGATTTGCTAATCTTACAGTTATAGATGACCCCGATGAGATCTCCTCAAGTCGCATCTGATTGGCCTTCATCCTAGTCTTCCAATCTCTACAACCTTTTCCCACTTGAAAATACGAACCAGACAGCTTTAATTTGCATCACCCACAGTAGGTCGTGGATTGCTTGCTTCCAGGGTATCAATTAAAACATCCAGAGACTGGCTCTGAAACTTCAAGGATTTTTGGTCTGCCTGCTGGGATTGCCTATGTATGATTTACTTTGCTACGACAACAGTTATTACATCATCATTATCAATATCGGGCAGATCCGACAACTGTTGACAAACGAGATGTGTTGAAAACCTCGTAGTACATGAATAACGAATGATAAATCAACCTAGATCTTAATCGATACATTGTTTACCAGAGGTTCGAATCACCACAACAAACCGGCTCACTGAAAACAAGATCTTCTAGATACCACAGGCGTTTAGTCGAGGAAATACTCTCGTGGCAAAAGGGATCGAGTCTTGAATGAACTGCCTACCTACCTACGTCCACCTGTGTGTGTATTGAATATAGCTTTACATCCTATAAAGAATGGCTTGGAGTTAATAATATTAAAGGAAAAAGGTGTCTTCAGATCCCTGTGGTGTAAAATTTGGACTATCATTGAAAAAAGTTGACGGTAAAACGGTACGTACTTTTATCACGCTGTCACTGGCCATTAAGATGAGCTTCTTCAAAGTGAAAATCCAAGTTTCCTGAACATCTATTGTTAATATTTTCAGTAGGAAGTCACGGAATTCATCAACAGAGAACGAGAATCGAATACGAGTTTTTCAAAGGCCTGAAGAACTAAAAGAAATCATGTCTTGTTTTTCTCAAAATAACTATATGAGGTTCAACTTGTCTGGACAAGGTGGAAGTGGTTTCGGATTGGAAACGATGTGTGTTGATAATACAACAACTAGTGACATTAACAGAGAAACCAAGGGGTTGAGGATTTTTAGACTTTTTTGTTACTCGATTGTGTTCATTGTAGGAACATGCGGGAATTCTTTGGTAGTGTGGCTGGTCGTCAAACGTCGACTTAAAGCACGCTATAACTATTTCTTGGCTAACTTGGCCGTAGCGGATTTGGCCGTCGTCATGATCAACCTTCCCTTTAGGTTGGCGTACCAAGAGAATGATTACCAATGGCCCTTTGGCTATGTGTTGTGTAAGATAATTCCACCGTTAACTTTCACATTTACAACAGCGTCTTCTGCCTTCTTGATGGCAGTTAGCCTCGAAAGATATCGCGCTGTGGTTCATCCACTGAGAAGTAAGGTGACACGTCTTCAACTCAAGTTAGCCGTTATTTTTATATGGGTATTGTCCTTCTCGGTGACGTTACCTCTTAATACTTTCATGACAACGGCGAGTCAACTTGGCAAAACTGTCTGCACAGACACTTGGCCATCAACGATGTTTGAGCAACTGTACTTCTCTTTATTGTTTGTGATTCAGTTCGCGTTTCCCATAGTCATAATGCTTATGGTTTACATGAAGATTATTGCCAAGATGCACAATAATCAACTGAGGTCGTGTAATCACAGGGCTTCTGTTCATATTCGACGAAGGAACAAGAGAGTCATCCGCATGCTCCTCGTCGTCGTTTTAGCATATTTTATTTGTGTCATGCCTTACAGTACCTATCTTGTTGTATCAGTTTTTGGAATCGAGAGCCCGATTTCTGTCAAGAAGTTTTTAGTGTTACTAGCTCTAGCGAATAGTATGGTAAACCCTCTACTGTACGGAGCTCTAAACAGACAGTTTCGTATCGGTTACATGGATGCGATCTCTGGAATTAGGCGATCATGTTTGGGTGGAAAACGTGATCCTACACTTTCGTCGATCTTCAAGCCTGTGCCTGACGATAACCATGCTCACAATAATCGCAAAAAGAAATATGTCGTCCGTGTAATTATGCAGTAAAATGAAAGGAAAAAACAGATATTGGATATGTCCTTGTGTCTGTCTGTACATCCTTACTCACATTCATTGCCTAGTTTCTTGTCAACATACCTACTCAACGACAAAAAACTTAAAAAAATCTCAAGGGTTTGAGGAAAGCTTCCCATTTATTTTTTCCCATTCAACATCCAAGTGGGAAAGTTTGATTGAAGCCTAAAGAGCAAATCAAAACCAAAACCAAAAACATTTAMAGTGAGAATATTTGGCATTGTATTTGAACTCACTGAAGTCTGTACCTCTAAAGACATTGTAAATAATTCGTATATGTTGCTACTCCGAGGACTGAAAGCTTGAGCGATGTGGCCAATTTGATTCAAATGTAAACATCTATCAATTATTTAATTAAGCTTCTCGTTTTTTTCCCCCAATTTGTTTTGATTTTATTTAAATACAAGTCTGGAATACACTTGTAAGACACAATACATTCATTGGAAAAAATGGAAGCAATATCGAATAGATTTACAGTGAAATAAATACAATATGCATTGCTCTAGTCTAGCCTAAGAAGCTAGAATACTTTTCATCCAAACTGATTTTTATCGCGCTCACTACTTAGTACATACCTTATTAATAATGCTAGTTCATCAATCTGGGATCAAAAAAGACATTATTACTCTAGAAACTATTTAGTAAGTCTCTATTTTGTATTTTGCCTGCACTGTCATTTACTAATCTATAGTCATAAATATTACCTGTCATTGTTCTTGTGATTACTGTAGGTCAGTAAATCCTAAAATCAGTATTTGACTGTTACATTTGGAATTTCACTTTCATCGTTAGTAAAAGCGAATGCAAAAGTGACTTCTTGTGATTCATTTTACTACTGCCTCAGGGTAAATTGTCTATAAGGCAAGAAGTAATGCCTAAAAGTGTTTTGTTTTTGTGTTTGAAATACGCGTGAACAAGTGTCTYGGGGTAATTATGCTTTTGGTGTATGGACGAAAAGTTTAATCGATAGTASATATTTTAGATGACCTTAATACACCTCCGCGTTCATCTTTCTCGATACTCTGTCACCATGTCGAATCCTTCATATTTAAGATAGTCAGGTTTCATTTGATCTAAGGGTGAATCACAGATCCAAGTGCTAAGATAACAAACCCAGTCAAGAAAACCACTTTGAAACATGAAACTACCCCATGTAACTTAACGCGAGTGAGGTTTTCTTAATCAAGGGTTTATTTCTTCAACGAAAACTCGAAAAGAGTGTAGAGCAGMGGCTGTGAACACGACGTCGACCTGTACCCACCATCTCGACGGTAGTGACAGAAACCCCATATAACCTTCATTCTAATTTCATTCCAATCAATCATCGCTCTAATTACCTTCAAATAGAGGGTTAATTATGAGGGTCTTATGGATGCCTGCCTTAAAGAGGATTTGACGATCCTATAAGATGATCAAAATACCAGATAACATATAATGTGGATTTATCTTTCAAACAAGAATTATTATATCCTTAATCCGTTAAATGAAAGAAAAACAAATTATTATTTTTTCTTCTTCCTACCTAGAAAAATGAATTGTCCTTGGAACAACATTTCCGCATTTTGAGCACAATTCTTAACCTTCTTAATGAAAGCGAAGTTTTCAGATACTTTTGATGACATGTACATGCCAACGTAACCAAATACGGTTCACGACTTCACGTCTCTGAATAAATCACTAAGAACGTATTACAAAAAAGTTGATTTGATTTGAACGAATTTCTAGCCCGTTAACCATATCTTTCTGGCCACAGTTCAAATTGGCTTGTGGTAGAACTGACAATATTATCGATATTCCAGCACTTTGTATCCTTAGTGACAGAGTGACTTTATCAGGTGCATAGAGACGGCTTGTGATTGGCTGAATCCATGGAACCATTTTCCACTTCGTTGTCTCTGAAGATTTTCTTACTTTCTTAATTGGCGCCAATTTAGGGTTGCTTTTAGCAGCGCCATCTCTCAAGGAACTCCACGTAACCAAATATAATCATTTGTCTGTGGGTTCTGAGTATTTAGGGCGGAAAAGAATCTCCCTATTCTACTTACTCACGACGGGATTCCTTTGAAGTTTTTTTTATCCAAATACTTTGACTCTCGGCAAACTATTTAGCTTTTTGCCGAACGACGAACTGTCACTAAATCACTCAAAAAACTTATCTTGCAAAGACTTTAGATCATTTTCTTCCAATTTTGCTTTAAGATTCACCCCGACGTCGTTTTTTACCTTTTTTATGCTCCTAAATGTTTAGTATCAGCTTACTTAAATACAAACAAATCTAGAAACATGTGTGGTATGATYATTTATTTCAGGCGGAATTCTCTTAGACCCTTTTTAATAGCTAAAAGCAAAAATAACTGCGGTAATTCAATAACACAGAGAGAGGGAAATCCTCTGTAGAATGTCAAATGCTTTATCCACGCCAGTAAACAAAGGATTAAAATATCCATCTAACTGAACATGTAAATAAAAGGGGAAATATCTGTGCTTTTCGCTTTTTATTTGCCTGGTGTTGCTAGTTCATTATATTTTATAAGAAATAAAAGAAGCGATGTTATTGAACCGTCACCTGCCAGTACCCGTATATAAAGTCTATTTCTCGAGTTCCGGCTACCAATTCATTCTTCGCTCCATTAATGCTTTTAACCGAAGGAAACAATTTACCTCCCGATGTCATCTTTACCGTTAGTTTAAGTTCTCGTTTTTTTATTTATATAATAGAAGTCTAAATTTCGCAAGTCCCAATCCTTCTGATTGTATAAGTACCTCATATAAGAGCTAGACGTGTCAAGTGAAAAGGTGGAAATTTTGGAGGACGGTTCGTTTCTRTATTAGAAGCAAAATGTAACCCCCATCCTCACTTTACAAAATGCATAATAAAACAGTTATTGAATTAGGCTTTCGCCTGATGATTCGGCCTCAAGCTAAGGCGGATAATGATCGTCTAATGGTTGTAGAAAGGTTGACCTGATCACGTACCCCTAACCATGTTAGATATAAAAACTGACAAAAAAGGTTTTTTGAATTAAATTGTTTCTTAAGAAATGGACTCCATTCAGTTTTCTGTTATCCGTCATGGCGGCCGGCATAACGTCGAACCAACTATTTCTGAGATAGCGTACATAGTGCAAACATCTTTGGTCTATCACACCTTGTATGGYGTTGTGTACCGAAGCTAGACCACGTGGCATTATGTTTTTCGGACTCARAAGAACTKAAAAAAAACTTGTCATCGCTTATCACCACCGCAAGTACAGCAGHGGCGCAGCTCAACGGGGTCRAACTATGCAAACTTCATACGTACTTCATTCGTGATTAATCTAAGTCTTCTTTATTGATATTTTTTTGGTAATAGAAACCACTATCGGCTGTTTTCGTACCAAGTTTTCGTTGCCCTAAAAATAACGAGTAGTATATACTGTAGATTTCTGATTGGATGATTGACATGCCTTCCATGTTGGTTCTATTGATTGGACAATTGCACCTCTCCAAAACCGAACTTAAGAAAATTCTCTTCATGATTTAATTTCAAGATTAWACAATACATCCTTAAAGGGATTAAGTGCATTATTTTCGATTTGTTCTCAAAGTATGACTAAAGTGCTATAATGAATAAATTATGACTTTGGCGAYGTTTGTTATCACAAAGAAGCTAGAAAGGGTATCTAAGAGGATGAGTGGAATGTTATTTCATAAGGAAGGGGTAGCTACGGTCAATTGGTGGGAAAAGTTTACGCTTATTCCGCAAAACATTACATCAAAACTTAAATCAGTTTAAGGGTTTTTTTCAATCTCGTACTCAGAGCCTTTATTTCTTACTGCGCATGCTTAACAAAATTATTTCGTCGAGCATGCGCAGCAAGGCTCTGAGCGACGAAGAGCATGATAATTGCATTCCCCACCAGATTCGAATTTACATTAGTGAACACCTCACCTGTTAGAAGGAAATCAACCTTTAATATTAATAATCAAATGAAAAACCTTTGTTAGCAGCTCTATAGTCGATTACATCGATGCGCATGCGCATGATGTCCCAAGTCAAATATGGCGGAAACCTTCAAAAATTAACACTCAAAGGCTGAATTACTAGCTGCTCTCAAGAAAAATAATTTTGAARTTGTCAATCGTAAAATCCAACAGGGTTTTTGATAAGCGCATTTTCCCACACGATGTCAAACTTGAATTCTAAATGCGTAAAGTGATGAGTCATGCGCCATAATTGYGTTGACTCTTTCTTGGTACTTTCACTTAAATCGCTGCAGACAACGATTATTTTAAATTCAAGGCATTGTATCGCGTTTCAATTTTTAAAAAATGCTCAAAATGTACTCAATTTCTTTGAGTTGAACTGACAGTTTACAAATTAACAGTATTTAGAGCATAATTGAGGCATTTTATGAAAGCACTTTKTCGGTCATCAATAGCCTTGGCTGGTCAACACTACTTGAGTATACAAGTACAGTCTAAACTCAAATATCACGCAATGGCTCTGGTTTTTATCTT